AAAACTAAAAGTAATCACATTATAATAACACATTATCAAAATCAATTGTCAACAAAAACAATATCATACAGAAACTTTGTGAAAACATGCATATATATATATATGAAACAGTTGAAGATGAGCATTCCTTTAAATTCTACCTAACCTACTTTGAGCTGTTTTAATAGATGCTGGCGTGACCCTAATGTATCTGATGTAACTATATGAAGACCAGCGCCCTAATGTTTTTATCAAGTGATCTTAATTTTTGCCTTACCAGCACTAGTAGCTGCCCCAATTCTAAAACTATGACCATTATAATGACTTGAGTTAAAGCCACATATATCCAGTACTTTTTTAATACAGGTGAGGAAATATTGTCTCTCCAGAGGTTTCTTATCAATGGTTATGAAAAGTGGATCAGTTTGATTGATAGGAGAAAATTCCTTCCTTATTTGTATATATTCTAACAAAATTGTGTAAGGGCAGATAAGCTGACCTAATTTATGTAGCTGTATATTTATGCCTTTTCTAAAAGGATCAGTTTTTGATTGTTTTAATTTCAAAACTATTAAGTCTGTGTGAAATACAACATCTTCAATACATAAATTTATATCTGGATCAAATTGTGAGGCCTTTGACACTGTAAACTCGCCACATCTCAAAAATCCATAAAATGCGACAATGCATGCAGTTCTTAACATCAAATCAGTAAACTTGGAACAAAAACCTTTTCTCAAACAATTTAAAATTTTCTCCAAAATTTCGAAAGTTATTGGTAATCTTATGTGATTTTTTGTTTTTTGCAGTCTTTTTACAGAATTTAAAACATAATCAAGCCTAATTAAAGGTGTATTATTAGCAGATTGCAAGGGATCATTATGATTACCCTGTACATACTTATACCTAATTCCACATAAATATAGTTTAATGGTAGAGTATTGTAAACTCAGAATTTTAAAGCAGTGGGCTATGAAATAAATTAAAATATCCTCAGAAATAGGAGGTAAACTAGTAAATTGAAAACCATTCAATAACATAAAAGTCTCAAACTTTCTAAACCCAGTATCATAAACAGTTCTTGTAGTATTAGCAATAGCACTGTCCCAAAGTTCATTCACTGCTTTATTTAAGACCACATTACATCTGAGCTGCTTGGGCACTTCATTGGATGTTGTGCTGCACTGGGAGCTAGTTTGCGGAATCTGTCTATCTGAAAACGAGATAGAGCATCACTTATGTCATTCTGATATCCTGGAACATGTTTCGCACTAAAATGAAAGTTGTATTTACAAGCACACCATGTAAGTTTCCTCATTAATTTCATTATTTGTTAACACTTTGAACGGCCCGTTTTTACTATAGCTACTGTAGCCTCATTGTCACACCAGAAAAGAATGCGTTTTGTTGTCCACTGTGAGCGCCACAGTATTGCGGATACTACAATAGGGTATAATTCAAGAAAAGCCATTGAAAATGTTTTATCAGGATAAGCAATGTTTGATGGCCATGATGAATAAAACCATTCTCCTTTGAAATATCCACCAAATCCTTTCGTTGATGAGGCATCAGTGAAAAGTTCCATATCATAACTTGAGTTAAATTGTCTTCTGTAAAACATGTTCACACCATTCCAGCTGCTCAGAAAAAGTAACCAAAATTCTAGGTCAACACGGCATTCCTTATCTAATTTAACATAATAATGCATATCATTGACAGTAGTGGACAGCCCTATGAGGTATGAAACAAAGGATCTACCAGGTAAAATGACACGTGAAGCAAAGTTTAAGTGGCCCAAAAGCTGCAACAATTCCCTTTTTGTACATGATTTTATCCTGTTTAATTTTTCGATGAATTCACAAATGCGATTTGACTTTATTAAGGGGCAGTCGAGCTTCCATTTTTTCAGAATCTAGAATAATACCCAAATATTCTAAACATTTTACAGGACCTATTGTCTTATGTTTAGCTATAGGAATGTTCAGTTTTTTGAAAATCATCATCATTATAGCCATAGTCCTCTCACCATCAGCATCTGGTGGATCTATGGTTAGAAAATCATTCAATAAATGCAAAATGCTATTAACTTTATAATTGTTTTCTGCAGTATGACACAAAGCTTGGGATAAATGGTCAAAAAATTTTAGGGCTTGAACGACATCTAAAAGTTAAACGGACATAAAAATAATACATTTTTTCCCATTTTATGCAGAAAAGAGGCCACTGACTTGGTATAATAGGACAATTTTTAAACGCGTCGGATATGTCGAACTTGCAAAGCCAGGAATTTCTTCCAAATTTCAAAATAACATCAATGGCGTCATCTATTCTTACATAAGACATTCAGCAATCCTGTTTGTCAATAAGATCATTAATGCTTAGATGGTTGTCATCATTATGTGGTGAAGATAAGTCCAATATTAAGCGCTTTTTACCAGAATATTTCCCTTCTGCAATACCAATTGGGCTTACCCTATATTTTTGAAAAGGGGGGTCCTTAAAAGGCCCATACAAGAAACCTTTAAAAACTTCTTTCTCTATCAACTCAGAAACCACATCTGGTTGTGTCCTAGCAGATAAACTATTCCTACATTCTTTTGTAGGTAAATATGTTGTAGCTACCATAGTATCGAAACCTTTCTCTAAGCCATTGCATAAATAATTAACAAATTTTTTGTCAGGATGAGATACTAATTATTTTGCAAGTTTAATAACATTAATTGGAGTAGTTGCCAGATATGGAAAATCATGTAGTCATTGACCTTGCTTATTTGTTGTTATTTTCTCAAACTTTAGTGAAGAGTTAACTGTATGTGGCTTAGATTGTACTTCAGTCCTACCTTGAGAGGGAAAAACTTTTTGACAAGCTAATAGGGTATGACCAGCGACTTTACATCTACTACAGATATGTGAAAAATGACAAAAACTCCTGATACAACCCCTACTGGTATTAAAATTATTGCACACCTCCCTCCCAGAATGATAAACCTTCTTTCTACCTAACTTATCAGTATTGTCTACCTGCCTTGATACTTTATCTGTGTAGTCTTGATACCCCATGGCGGTTTGCATAGGACAAAAAGCTGGGGTGTGATCAACCAAATTACAAATTTTGCAAACATTTACATTCCCACCAGCAACTATTAATGAAAGAAGATCCCTATCTCTTTTGCTCCAGTCAACCTTAATCCTTCTCTCCCTTAAAAGAGCTGCTGATTTTGCAGAAAACAATTTGTGGTAATCATAAAATCTATCACCATAAAAATTACTAATATCTATAATCTCATCTTCATAAGCATCCAGCTCTGCTCTACGATCAGGATAAGCTGATGACATGACCCTTTTAAACTTTCCAAATGCCTTAATGAATTCTTGAATTGTGAGTTTCCTATTAAGACGGGGATCTGGCTTCCCAGAGATATTTAATTCTAACCCATTAGCTGCAACAAAGATGCCAAATTAACATCCTTACCGTCAATGATTTGCTTCTGAATAGATGGAGATATTATGCCCACATCACATTAGAGTATTCATCAGAACGCACTCCACATGAAAAATTTCCAATTTGTGTTCGTGAGATGAAAGATGCATTCTCTGTATTTCCTTGTAAACTGTTGTTATTTCCCCTGTTAGAAGTGTAGGTTTCATTCCTATTTCCAATCCCTGCATGGTTATACCACTGTTGAAGGTTGAATTCGCAATCTCTACTCGTGTCATGAGTATTGTCTCTGTAAATTAACTGTTTGAAGGTCTCTTGAAGCCCTGCAAAACACTGAGCTATGTTTTGTGATTCTGCAGTCTTGTTCCGGTCTGTTCCACCATTCTCATTTTCGCCATTCGATAAACTGCTTCTGTGTTGATGCACTGATTCTGCCAAGGTAATCGGAACAGTGTTCTCTGGTGAGGAATCCGTGTTAATCTCATCACTAACGTTCTCTGTCTGTTGTGTCTCTATAGGTGTTACTCCTTCAATACTATTCTCTATGTAAAGTTGTTTTGACATTCCAGGTGTTCTTATTCCCTTTTTGTTAAGTTCTTCTTTCAGTTTGTTTATAGTCCAGTTAGATGGGTTGTTAGAATCCCATTGGGTCTCATACGGAGAACTCCTAGTCTTCCTTCGCACACCTTTTCCTCTGCCAGACATTTTGTTGTCAGTTATTCCAATAATGTTTAAATTCTCCAGTTAAATTAGTCTGAATTATATTAAATGTTTAAAAACTCTAATATAGCTTTAGTAAAGTAATCCAAACACTGACGTTCAAGTTTTTAGCTAAAACAATATAAGAGTCAAGATTAGTCTAATAACTGCTTAATCTGCATTTAGATAAATGGATACTCAAGGCAGCATACACAGGTTTTTAATACACAACTTCTTAATGGGATACTCCTAAGTGGGAGGAGTTAAAACTGCACCCAGGTTAATGTATAAAGAACAAAGGACAAAGGAAGCCAAATGCCACAAGTGGTCACTAATTAACAAGACATGTATATTTGTAATTAAACCTCCTGCTAAGAACATGTGATAAACTTCACATCTAACTGATTGAGATATGATAATAAATCTGTTTCATCTCAACAGTAAAGAAAACACACATCCTGGGAAAATCCTAAAATAATGACTACTGAGTGTAATGAAAATCAAACTATGTATAAACATTACTTATATAACATATAAGTACCTATATATTTTCAGAATATGAGTAGTCAACCTGTGCAAAAATACTAAATTGCCTGACAAGTTACTGAACACTGCTGGCTGAATTAATTGAAATTTCTAAAAACTGCTCAATATACCACAAGAAAAATATTTTATCAATTACCTATAAACACTAAACTAGTGTTGGTATGTTATATATAAATTTCAGATGACGTTGACGTTGACATCAAATAGCTGACACACTGGAACTAAGTGATATTCATATTTTTTCCGTTGTTTCAACATGTTCAATGCATATTAGATAAAATTGAAATTAATGTAAATATATAAATCAATTTGAATTTCTAAATATATATTTTTGCTTTTATTTTATTGCCATCGAATACACGGATAGCTATCTAGGTTGCAAATTCAAATTATTCTAGATATTTGCAAGGACCTGATGATTGAACTTTTAAGCAGCATAGCAAAACTAATCAAAGATACCAGGTTTATAATTTGGTACGCCAGTCACGCGTCTCTGAAATAGACTCGCCAGTGGCACTCTGATCAAAACAGTTTGAATGTATATGTGGAGCAGGGTCTACTTATCCTTCCGGGAGCATATGAAATCACGCCCTGTGTTTTTTCTTGTTTGTGTTGCTCATTCTTTAGTTTTTTAAGTTATGTTTTGTAGTTTGTTGTGTCTTTTGATCGTTTTTTGTGTTTTGCCATTGCATTGTCAGTTCGTTTTGGACTTATGACTAACTACTCCTTTGGTATCTTTCGCCTCTCTTCAATGATAACCTTCAAATGCGACTTAATCAAACTACATCTTATATGAGAATGATATTTTTTTATGAATGAAATTTCATATTTTACATACATGCAGTATATAGTCAAGTTAAGAAATCATTGTTTTAAATGTTTCATGTAAATTATGGAATGAGGCAAACTGATTACGTCATATTTTCTAACAACAATAAATACAAATAGCATGCTATCTGCAAAGTTCTATAAATGTCATTTTTTTTTATTTTTCATTTACACCATACAACAGCTGAATGTCATCTAAATCTACAAATAAAAGATGAAAAATATCAGTTTGTTAAAAATAAAAAATATATTACATACATCAAATAATGATAGTATCAAAATTTCAAGTACACCAAATATATGTCAAATGATTTATGTAACACAATAGCATTGCGATAGAGAGTTATGCTCATTATTGTTTTTTGTTTGAATGTGCGAGGCAAAGGATCAAATCTTTGTACAAGTTTTAAGGTTTCACTGTATTTTCTGTTATTTCATGACTGTTATCTTTTAAAAGAAAATATTTCAAACATATATCAACGTTCCCTGACATGCATAAATTCAACATTTAAATCTGCAAATTTCTAAACATTAGATTTCAATGCCTCTTCGAGCTCAAACAGCTTCCAGTTGAGTATCAGTATCTTTGGTGAGTGTTTACCTTCATTTCATCGTCCATGTGACATTGTTATTTATCATTGCTTAGTTAGTAGTTCAATGGAATATGATGTGAACGAAAAAATCTGTGACATTAGACTTTAACTCAAATCATACAATGCTTCTTAATATGGAGTTATGCAAGAATTATAGAGTTACCATAATTTCAAAATTAAGCGATCATTGTTGTTTTCTTATTTCAAATACGTAACACACAAGATTAACTGACTAAAGATGATTTAAAAATGTTTCGTTCTATCACATGTACAGTCCTTGCTATAAAATATGTTTTGTTTTCCAGACATGAAATTAAAAACATGTTGTTTTCATTTTTTGGACATATGTATTTTAGTTAAACATTAATTCAATAAGAGTTTCATTTTCAATAAATTGATGCAATAATTCTAAAAGAATATATTAAAAAACAACCACGAAACAACACGATATGACACGGGTAAAGATGAATCAAATACAATTCATACTAGAGGAGTAAAAGTCAGCACAGTGATGTTAAACAAAACTGATCTGTTTAAACTCTTAAAGGTTTAAAGTATCTCGAATGAAAATTTGTTTTAAGTTTATAAGTAGACCGCTTAAATTTAAAATCTATTCTAAAAATATTATACCCATAATAATTGAAATAATGAAATCGAAAAATTAAACAATTCTTAATTACTATTAACATCTACGCATACCTAAGGACATCCTCCGCAGTCGGGGCAAACATCACAGACAGATGAATTTTTCAAAACATGTGACTGGTAGAACATTGTCACTTGGTTATCTGTAAAAAAAAACCAAACAAATTGTAAGTTACTCAGTGTTCTCTGTTCTAATGATTCATATGTATTTGAGTCGTAGAATGGTAGCGAAACTGAATTGTGATCTAAGTAAGAATGTTCTCACTTGTGAAACACATGACTGTTTGAATGCTACATTGGACGTTTTTGATAATCATAATGGCATGCAGGATCCACTTATAAAATATAACTAGCCAACGTGTGTGTTCATTGAAATTGCAGTATAAAATAATTATTTAAACATTGGAGTAGGTAGAACAATGGTTACCATTAAAGCTTTTAGCAGATTAACTACTCAATTTCCTATATGATTTGAAAAAAAACCAGGATCATTTATTTCTTTCAAAACATCAACTTTTTGCAATCTCCTTTTCAAGCACGTTGTATAAAACAAACTTGGTATGTTCTCCTGGTGAAGTTCATTTCGTGATACCTGATTTTAGAAAGTAAAATTCACAAATTGCCCAAAGTGGCCTATATTGTGGAAGAATTTATCACTGTTTGTGCTTGACATCAGTTTCTTTTTACTGTGTATCTTTTAAATTTTCTTCAAAACTTAGTTTTTCACGTTTTGTCTCGCATAGACGAAATCCCTATGGCGAGACTTTGGCGTTGGCGGCGTTATCAATTTGTTAAATGTTGAGATGAAGTAAGCTTAAGGGGAACCACTAATGGTAAGTAATGGTATTTAGTTTGCAGATGCCGTAACCTTAATTAAAGAAGAACCACTAATGGTTAATAAGTAAATGATATAATTACTATAATTGGCACATATCATTTACAAAGATATATGTGGTTTCGAGCTCACAGTCATGGTTCATTAACCTTGCATTTTTTCCTTTATTTACATATTCCGGTGATTAGAACAGTTTAAGTCGAACCACCTGCGAAAAGTCAATGATTAATTGATTGATCGCTGGTGTTCTACGCCACTTTTTGTTAACGATATGTGGTATGCAGTTGTATTAGCATTGGCTCATCTCATCATTTTTCATTGACTTTGATATGTTTGAATATTTCGCATAGTTCACATGTTAAAGTATTGCTTTTTTGGGTCGAGACCTCTGCTGGTGGACTGTTAGTCCCCGATGGTATCACCTAACCCAGCAGCTAGTACTTCGATACCGGCATGAACATGTGGATATTGTGTTATTAAGATTTGCCGTAACAAAATGAAGGAAATCATTTTAAACTAAGGCATATACCTCCCTCATGTAAAGATCGGATTCCTTGTCCAAATTTGGCTATAGTTTCATTTTGGTTTATAAGCTCCTTATTTTTTGAATAAGTTTTTGATTTTCAATTTTTTTTACCTCCTTTGATTGATAAGGCATTTTTTTTTATCGAAATGCGCCTCTGGTGTACTAAAATTAGTACCGTTAATGTTGTTACTATCACTGGGTGATACCTCTGCTAATGGACTGTTAGTCCCCGAGGGTATCAACAGCATAATACGAAGTACCGGCATGGAAATACGGATAATTATGGCACGCCGTTCTGGTCAAAACTATGTTTAAACCATTTTTCGAAAAACTGAGAATTATAAAAAAAAACACTGAGATTAAAAAACCTAAAATCACACACTAAGAATTAAAAATTACACAGTGAGAATTCACAAAGACGCACTGAGATTACAAACTAGAGGCTCTAAAGAGCCTGTGTCGCTCACCTTGGTCTATGTGCATATCAAACAAAGGACACTCTCCAACATTGTAGACGAGAATAGACTTCATGACAAAAATCTCTATTTTGTTGATCTTGTATTACTGATCTTTTAGTCTGTTTAGTTTCTCTCTAACTTCTTTAGTTTTTGCTCAAAACACAAAAGAGGGTAAAAAAAATCCTCATTTAAGGGCAATCACTCCTATGAAGAGTGACAGTCTACTAACAATATCAGCAAAATTTGACTTTTTAATAGATCTTGCCTTGCTGATCATTTTTGTGATTTAAAGTGTTTATTTATCTATTATAATTTAAATCATATAAGGCATAACGGAAAAAAAATGTTTCTCTCTAAATATCACAGTTTTCATGATAATAGGCAAAAATTAAAAAAATGGTAAAATTTGTCATATATGGGCAATAACTCCTATAAGAATTTGTCTAACAGTTTTGATGTATATGGACAATTGGTAGAACTCATTATTCTGAACATTTTTGCTCCTTTTAGATTTTCTCTATTTATAACGGTTCAAAAAATAATAGACAAAACTTGCATTTTACCCCTATGTTCTATTTTTAGCCATGTCGGCCATGTTGGTTAGTAAGCGGGGTCATCGGACACATTTTTTAAACTAGATACCCTAATGATGATTGTGGCTAAGTTTGGTTTAATTTGTCTTTGTAGTTTCAGAGGAGAAGATTTTTGTAAAAGATTACAAAAATTTACAAAAAATTGTTAAAAATTGACTATAAAGGGCAATAACTCCTTAAGGGGTCAATTGACTATTTTGGTCATGTTGACTTATTTGTAGATCTTACTTTGCTGAACATCATTGCTGTTTACAGTTTATCTCTATCTATAATAATATTCAAGATAATAACCAAAAACTGCAATTTTGTTTAGGCCAGGTGAGATAAAAATGAAAAACACACACTGAGAATTGAAAATTACACACTGAGAATTGAAAACTACACTCTGAGATTTCAAAAAGACACACTGAGATGAAATAAACAGAAAAACACACACTGAGAATTTGAAATTACACACTGAGAATTTAAAATTACACACTGAGATTTGTGCGCCCTTTTATATCTAATTAGCATACTTAATCTGAATCTATTACAAGCTTAAAACAACCAGGGGACAGAACTCGTTAGTCCTTCAGCTTGGCGCCAAATGTTTTATAAAAACATTAGAAATATAACGTATAGAAAAACTTCGATATTAAAGACCAATAGAAAAAGAAAAATACCCACTTACTCTCATTACAAAATATAACCAAATGGTGAAAAACTTTATTAAAATTATAAGAAAACATTAAAACAATCTGCAGAAAGACAAAAATTGCAGTGAAACTTTTACCCAAGTACCTATTATAGCATATAAACGTAACAAAAATATAAAAGATTACCTTGCGAAATCAGGGAAACAGTTGAAAGACTTTTGAAAAGGGACCCATGCTTAAACAGTGTTAAGCAAAAATCCCGATACACTGTTAATAATAATCTGAATTATAGGCAACAAACTTATGAATATGAGTTAGGTCGATGTTAAGTCTTGAAATTTATTTCGAAGGTTGGTTGAAGGAACCGCTTTTCATTATAATGACGAGAGTTCGGGAGACCAAGATATGTAATTAACAATTCTCAGTGTGTGTTTTTCATTTTTTTTAAACTTAGTGTGTAATTTTAAAATCTCAGTGTGTAATTCCGATTTATCAGTGTGTTATTTTAGTTTTTAAATCTCAGTGTGGTTTTTTTAATTCTCTGTGTGTCATTTTTTTTCGAAAAAAGGGTTTAAACATAGTTTTGACGAGAACGGCTTGCCATAGATAATGCGTTCCTAGTGCAGTAAAATTGATATAAGTTATCAATTTCAACATTTGCATTTTTACTATCAAAATTACACTCAGACGAAGCATATCTGTGTCAACAGTTTATTTTTTTGCTAGTATTTTCCTAGACTTTAATATTTACTTGAAATTGTCCAATTTCAACATTTAAACTGTGTTTAAAGCTAAATGTTATACTAGTTCAGACTAACAAGACACCAAAGTAAATGTAATTAATCATATGCAACGTGAAAGACACAGTTTTTTATAGGATTGAAATCGAATTACCTGGTTGGTAATAATCATAAACACGAACAGCAGATGGTTGTGTTTTAGCAACAAGTCCAGTGCGGATCGATTCCATGGTTATACACAGGGGCGTAGTTGTTATCTGTAATGAAAACATAGTCTTATTAAACATTTTTTCAAACTCTGAAACAATATTTTGAAAATAATTTGTACAATATTAAAAATAATTGAATTCTATTTATTTTACAGTGGGGAAATTTCAAACTTAAATGTACTAGTATTCTTCTTTGCAACGACTTAAATTATTGCAAACTTAAGCAGTTGTAGAGTTTTAAAGACCCATAAAATGCTTTGCAATAAAAACCAAATACTTATTTATTTCCACTTAGTTTGCAGTAATATGTAATAAATGAATCATCTATTTTAAACAGTGTAAGAGGATATACCAGATATCATTTGATAGCTGAGAGTTAAATAAACGTATGATACTGATATTTCTGGCAAAACCGTCATCAAGTAGGTACGCTCAGGACCAAATGTTAGGTAAAAGAAGCATATAAAACCTTTCAGAACATTAAATCGAAAATATGGTCTTCATAGAAATGCAAAACACGTTCGTACATTACCTTTGATTCAAAGAGTGACAACCTATTACTGTATTTTATACAACTTGGTCAAATGTGTGTATATTATAATACTTTTTCCAATATTATGTGAACATAAATAATCGGAAGATAGTTTTTTGTCAAATTTTTAAGAAAACTGGGGTCATTTTATTTGTGTTGTTATGCACACCTAAATTGATACATTCTAATATCAATATTTTCGTTCAAATAAATGTTATGAAACGTTATTGTCCTCTGCTTTAATCAACATTTACTTTATACTATTCAAAAGCCATGCCAAAATATGAGAACGAAATTGTCTGAATTATTCTTAAGAGCCAATCCGCCAGAAAACCATGCAATATTCAGAAAATCGTCCAAATCGACAATCACAACTTGACAAATTTTTATACATCATCTTAATCCTTGACATAAAATAAAAGAATTTAACCACTTAATTTTTCCCAGAATCGTATCTATTTTTAGTAACAGCCTCATTTGCATAATTCTGTAAATTCATAATGAAACTAAGGAAAAATCCAACTTTTTTATGCCTTTTAAGAATGACCCAGAGGCATATTAAATGGGGTAGTTGAGTTTTTAGAGTAATGTCAGCTGAAACTCATTCATTTTACTATGTTATGATCAATACAAATGAAAATTTAAACGATTTGGCACATTGCCAGGAGCAGGGACACAAAGGCGGGGTTTTTCATACATGAATTTACGTGGTTTTCATTCGCTTCTATCTTGCAAGACCCATTCCGGATTTGTTTGCAACTTATATCGGTTTTAACTATGGGGTATTTTTTTTATATCAAAACAAAATATTAAGCTTGGCAAATGACTATTATATGTTAATTTATGCCTTGGAAGAATGGTGATTTTAGTCCCAAATTGACAGATTTTAATTTTGATTTTAATTAAATTCTAAACACAATTGGTACTAAAATAGCTCATAAAATTATTCGAACAAGTAAAATCAATTTGTCTGAAAAATGAAATAAGACGTATTTGTACTGCAAGTCCAAAAATCAATAAATTGTCTGAAACCAGGGAGTCCATCTTTTATGCTCTTCCATGGACTTATCTCCCTTGGGTAAGATCTCAAACATGTCAGCTCCCAGTGATGGTTTGGCAGACAAATGTTTACAGTGACGTTTGTGACTTTAATAATCTAGGATGAGCATGTGGGCTATCCCAGCCTTATACATCTACATATTACAAACTATGTAAGATATCTGAATGCACTAAAGACCAAAATAGAATTTCCAAAAAAAATAATTACTGCCAAGAAATTTGACAATCATGACAATAATTTAGTGAATAAACATGATAAATATTGATTGGAAAAATAAGTCCATGAACAGCAAAAAGTGTTTTTAGATTTCAACGAGCAAAACAAAAGTATTCTAAATCATTCTTCGTAAAAAACGTGAGCGAGTGGAACCACCTTGCTCGCACCAAAATTGAGATTGAGAGTGTCAAAACTGCTCTGGCGGCTTTCGAGACGCGACGGCCATACTTCCATGACGGCCATAGGATGTGTCGGCCATACCGTTGAGGTTATAACATAAAATATAATAATAAAATAAGTATTTATTCATAATAATAACATTAATATGATTTTGTAGTATTTTTTTCTGTACAAGAGATCTTATTTATTCTTGTAAGAGTTATCTTTGCTTGATCATCATCACTCGTGTTTACAACTTGTTGGGGCCATATTATGTAAGTATATTGATTATTTCTTCATTATCAGTTATAAACAATTTCTGAAGAATCATTTTTATTGTAATGTGATATAAAGGCATCTTATTTTATATGAAGTATATATATTTTATTTATTCATTCAGTCATACAGATAAACATTAAACTCATTAAAGTTACTATTTTAACAAAGCACTATACACATAATAAGCACAACCAATAAGTTCTTCAAGTCACTACAATTAACACTTAATCAGACTCGATGTCGGAATCTTCAGAGTCGGACTCTGGGAGGGTCTCTGGTTGTGGAACAGGGGGTCTGATGTTCTGATACTGTCTTCCTCGTACTGGTCCCACAGTGAAGTTAGACGGCCTTGAAGCTGCTTGTATGTGTCTCGTTGATATCGGCTGAGCTGCTGTTCACTCATTTTTACAAGAATTTCACTACCAAATGTATGTTTGCACTCCGCTTGAACTCAGCTTGGCAGTTGTGTTTTTATAGTGATCTTGAGTTGTATTTCCATTACAATTTCTTGACAAAAGCATAATTAATACTTGTGTTCATCAAAGAAGTAATAATAAGCAATCAACAATCTTCTTAAATTTCAAACTTAATCATAACTTGATTACCTTGTTTTATATATTTCAAAACTGAACTTATTGTTTTAATTTTGACAGAAATTAGTCTCCCATTCGGATATAGTCATTCATATTTGTTCATTTTGTTCTGTTTGTTATACGCAAGATATCAAAAAATCATTTAGAAAACAATATGATATTTTAATATTTTATTAGATTAAACACATTCATTTATGATATATATATAATGAGTAAACAAATGATATAACAAAATTAAACATGATAAATAATATAAAAACAGTAAAGTTTATTTAAAAGTTATAATAACCATCTATAAGTATCAAAATAATTCATATATAACATCTATATATAAAAAAAAAAAAACCGTGGACGATACGTCTTCACAAAGTATGGCCGTTTTTGTCATATGGCCGTTTCATCTTTTCGGGGTATGGCCGTTTCATCCTATGGACGTCATGGCAGTATGGCCGTCACGTCCTGCATCGCTCTGGCGCACCATCAATAAATCAACGACACTCTCTCTACCGTGGTATTGAAACCAGCATTGGTAACCAAACATATTCATACAGATACAGACTACCATTCATCTACATTTAGGAAGTCTGAATAATACTGAAAACTATGGTGCAGAATTTCCAACAGGACTCCTTATTTTATATAAGACAAGGAGTGGTTTATTTTCCCATGGTTGTTACATCATCTTGTCTTTGAATATGCTCGAAGTACAGGGACTTTTATGGAATTCATTGACATGATAGTCAAGCAAGATGTCAACATCTCGTCCAACCCTCTTCCAGCAAAGCCAAAGCTGACCAAGGATCTTCACCCTTTCAAAACAGGCTGTATACAGGACGAGTTATTCCAGTAGGAACAGGTACAAATCTTACAATCAATTTTCATTTGTTCCATATAGTCAATCTGAAATTAGGGGACCAACAATTGATACATTAGCTAGATTAAAAAAAAGGGGGAGGGGGGTTAGAATGGTCAAAATATTTATGTCCTTGTCAGCTTAGGACAGAATTTTAATTTTCAAGCTACATGTATTAACCAGGGTACAATATATATTTATTTTCTGCTTTAAAAAATCAATGTATAGACCAGAATCATGATAATAATCAAAATCTATTTCAACATATTCAACGTTTAGCAGGTCAGGTTTTTATTCTCATCACCCTAAGTTATATTTTCAGTTCTTACTGGAAGTTGTTCAGCTCTTTGTCTACTAAAAAAACTTTTATCTCGTGGAAAAGCCTCCTACAAATACATGTTTTACATACAACATACTGTACATGTAACACTAGACAACTTTATCCAGAGAATAATATTTTTTTAATGAACTAATAGGCCATGGAGACTAAAAAAATCAAAAGCATTGCAAACTTTTGTAAAGTTCAATTTTAGGACCCTACATGTACATGTATGTAGATTACTTATAGAGCCCTTTTTAAAAGAAAAAAAAACATACATTTAAACTACATGCACAGTGATGCTACACTACCCTACATTTCCTGTCTGATATATTTTATTTCATGTAAAACAAAATTGAAGAATTATTTTATAGTTTAACACTTTTTATTTGTAGGGCTATATATATGCAAGCAATGCTCAATTAAGATGAATTTTTGTAAAAGTGACAATAGCCAGGTCAAACTAAATACATGTATAGAAGAAGATATTGGTAAGTTATTATTAACTTATATATTAATTTAACTGTTTGTATAACATGGTAATCATACAAAGTATATGTAATCACTTATATAATAACATAATTATACAATTACATGTTATACATTTGTACATCAGTTTTATTAAACAGGTCTTTGTTAACTTGGTTTTCCCATTGAAAAATCACTTTGCTAATTTTAATTTGTAGTACTATATTGGGCGGCTCCTATAGTTTCCATTCAATAACTAACAATGACTAATGAACTGTTCATACATTCCATTTCAATTATTTTATTTATTAATACGTATTACTTTTACCTGTTTACTGGTAAGTCTGTTTTTTGTGATATCCATTTTAAGTGACTCTGTATTTATGTATCCCGTCATACTTTGAACGACAAAATTATTTTATGTCTACCTGTGCGAATTTCAAACGCGCGATTTTACGCCAGTACTTAAAACCTTCCATCCTTTATGGGTGGATTTTTCATAGATATATAAAATCGTATAATATAAGCAAAATGAGGATGTTAAATTTGATTTATGCCTTTTTGTGCTTCTTCGTTACATTTGTTTGTTTTTATAGTGATTAAGATGATAACACAATGTTGACTGCTGTACCCCTATTTTTGACAATTTTACCTATTGTGTCTGTTTGTTTTGTTCATGCATCGTTGTCAATATAATGGAATTTGATGTGACTGTCATACAAGTGAGAGGTTTATTATCTTGCTATAAAACCAGGTTCAATCCACAATTTTCTACATAAGAAAATGCCTGTACCAAGTCATGAATATGACAGTTGTTATCCATTCGTTTGATGTGTTTGAACTTTTGATTTTGCCATTCGATTGGGGACTTTCCTTTTTGAATTTTCCTCGGAGATCAGTATTTTTGTGATTTTACTTTTTCAAATATAAAAGGGGGAGATTTTTATTGGTACAATGTACTTTTGAAGATATTTCACCTGTTCGATTAATTGATTGATTGTTGGTAATGCTAATGTCCAATGGCAAATAGTTCATGCATGTTTAGGACAAGAACAAATTAAAATAAATACATTATTTGGGTTCTTAATATGCTAAATCTAACAATGTATTTAAATAATTTAAGATGTTGCAATTGGGCCCCATTTTAAATTGGTTCACATTGATTTCAAAATGGTCCAAAAATTTTTTTCTTATTTCTACACAACTTGAATTCTTGAGGTTCTTTTGATATACAAAATGCAAATGTTTTATATTTAGATTTTTAATTTTGGGCCGGTTTTCAAATTTGTCCACATTTTAAAGTCCAAAGTGTCCAAATTTTAACTTAGTTTAATTTTAACAAAACTTGAACTCTACTTACAATGAATTAGCGCTAGGGTTCTTTGAATGATAAATAGAAATAATCAAATATCCTGAATATAAATATGTACTTAGATTTATGATTTTGGTCCCAGTTTTCAAGTTGGTTCAAATGGGGTCCATAATTTAACTGTGTTTGATTTCAACAATAATTTTAAAGATGCTGATTCAGCCTGAATCTAACCTGTATTCAGTTTTTGGGCCCTATTATGAAATTGGTTTACATTGAGGTCCAAAGGGTCCAAAATTAAACTAAATTTTAAATCTTAATTTGATCTTGGGGTTCTCTGATATGCTGAATCTATTAAACTTTATCTTTATACCATATTTATTCTGTGTTAGAAACCTATTCTTTGTCAAATATTTAATCCCATTACAAATTTAGAGCTGTTATAGCTTGAATGTTCTGTCCAAACTTGCATTTTTTCTTCATCTTCCACAAAATTTGTCCTTTTCTGAGATAACTGGTGTTATCTTTTTAAATGAAACTTTAGTGAAAAGAAAAGCACAATATGTGGATGATTATCTGATGTCAAACATTTTCAAGATGGCCTAGAAGGATTTCAACACTGGTTAATTTAATTAAAATTGTTAATTAGGGATAGTCGTGGTAGTTTGACTTGCTAAACAAAGTAAGGTTGTTTTTTCTTCCAAAATGGCAAACATTTTCAAGATGGCCTTATATGAAAATTGACATTAAGGAATTATAGCACTTTTGACATGCCAACAAAACAATGAAATTTTTTTTTAAAGATGGACACAGCAAATAAAGGGTAAAATTTTCAATTTTGTTGAGTTTGATTTTAAAGAATATTGAAATATTGATATTTAGCTGTACTTTGACACAGAGAACAGATATAAAGATGGCCACCATTTCAAAGATTGTCACTAAAAGCGGTCAAATTATCACCATTGTCTGTTTTCAATGTAAAATTATATTGAGAGGTAATTTGACATGCCAAACCAAATGGAGGCAATTTTTATTGTTGTAAAGATGTTAAGGGCTATTTGGACATGCTTAAAAGGAGTGGATAATAACTATTCTGCAAAAATGATTTGGCTTTAGTTGGGAGAATTTTGTAACTGCATCCACTTACAGTAAAAGTTGTCAATTTTATTTCCTGTCAGTGGTATATATGAAATTAAAAAAAAAATGTGGTATGATTGCCAATGAGAACAAATGACATAGAAGTTAAGCTATAGGTCTTCATACGACATATGGTCTTCAACAATGAGCAAGACCTATACTGCATATATATTCAGCCATAAAAGGCCCCAAAATAAGAAAATGAAAAAATGTGAAAACTAACAGCCTGATTTATGTATGTATGTTTTGTGGTTTTCAGATCTAGACTCGCAGCTAACCTTTCTGTCAGTGTCAACAACAACTGAACTTTCACAGCAGTCAACATCAGATTGGGAGACTGATAATGCTTCTAACAGAAACAATTTCAACCAACCAAACAAGCAACAGAAACTTTCCAACTTTAAAACATCAGTTAAATCCATGGGATGTATCTCAAAAAATAACAGTTCATCATTTATGGAGATTTTAATGTTATGGTTTTTCTTTTACAAGAAAGTTAATGTACACTTGTTTTATAGTAAAACTTATAGCCGTTCAAGTATAAAAAAAACACATTCAACTTTATTGAAATTTGAAGATTCATATGACTTATTTTAATTCTGTTATCTCCGAGGATGTGATGTAGAGCATTATAGGTACAGTAATCTTAACAGCTATCCAATTTCATTCAAAATTCTTTATAAATTTTGCACTGGTATATATAGACTAAGTAATTTGTTTTTCGTCTAGTTATGGGATTTTTTTTAGAAGCATTTATGATTTTCATGTTTGTATTGACCACATTGCAGCAACATAGATATAGGTACCTGGCAAATCTTGCCTTGTTAGCATACTAGGCTCAAAGGGTCATAAAAAAATTTCCATCACTAAGTGTCTGTTAAAATCATCTGTTTACAGTTTTCACTTTTAAACCATCATCTTAATAACGTTAGAAGAAGTATCATACATATATATATGTATACAAAATTTAAAAACTTTTCAATATATATATATATATATATATATTGATAAAAACTATCAACATGACAAGATCTAGATACCCAAAATTTTTCTGAAAAATTGGACATAACATCTATGAGCTATTGTCCCTGAAATGTGTAAATTTACAAATTTTCACAGTTTTCTGCTACTATCCGACAACTATAAAAATATATTATAAGAATAAATTGCAAAAGTGGTCAGAAGAAACTTTTTTTTTACAGTCTGAACTTATTCTGAATTGTTTAACTTCTAATTTAAATTGATTGCGTTTGAAATATGTGTTTTTTATCGTTTTAGGTGCACAATTTGTCAATACGATCTATTTCGGCTCCTGGGAGCCTCTAGATTTATAATGAATAATTTGTATTTATGTATGATTATTTTCTTAATGTATTAAATGAAACATTAATTATTCTTTTCCATTTGTTGTTATACTTATTTATAAGTCCAGATCCTATCATATGTCAGTAGTTACAAATTAGACGGCAAAATTGAGAAAATTTGAATATGCAGGTTACCCCATTTTGTTGTGGCATATACCAGACACCAACATTATTTGCCGAGCTTGATATTTTTTTTGATTGGGTATATATAGTTATACTTTGCAAGTAGATATGTTGTTTTACAATAATAAACGGGTCTTGGAGTATTTTGGCTCTGAAAGATGACCAAAATCAGCCATTTTGGACATGTAGCTAAATAAGACATATTGAAACAGTTAGATTATACATACACTAAATAGACAGCATTGTTAATTCTATGCATTCTTACACTTAAAGTGATGTATTACTAGGAACAACTATCAAAAAATTATAAATGTTACCATATTTTTTTATTTAAACCAGCGAAATATGCCAAAAAGGCTTATTTTTGCTGTTTTCCAGCAATTTCATCTGTTAAAACATGGCGCTCAAAAAATATCCAGATCGGTTCAATATTTTCCCAAAAAAATTTGTGTGGTTATTAACATTACTAAGGTGCACCAATATGCCAAATATGAACTCATTTGGAAAAAGTGACATTCGGACGGTTTTGCATGGTTTTCTGGCAGATTGGCTCTTAATCTACATGCATGCCTAAGGAATTTACTATAAAATTATAAACATTCTCTACAACTAGCGTTTATCGACTGTTAACTGCAACCTTATATTGTTTTCCCAAGAACTTCATCGACGCCAGTATAAGATTAATTTTAGACAGTGATTTTTTTAACAAATCGAAGCTCCTTTACTAGAAACTTTTAAAACCACTTACAGAAAAAAGAAAATAGAAGAAGCAAGGGACACGAGAGAAATTATCATTGATTGTAATAATAGAACAACATGATTCAAAAAGTATGAAATTCCAAAAAGGAAGCAAAAGACCGAAACAATTAATATTATTTGAATTATAAGGAATATGAAGAACCATTCATTAGACCCATTTACCTACATTTTATCACTGTATGATGGTTTTGATCGCTATATGAACTGGTGTGTTTTACTGGCTGTTTAGTTTTTTTATTTTATTTTTCAGTCCTTAATAGTATATTGGTCGTGAAGTATAAAGCAGGCTTAAATATCATTTGGTATCAGAATAACCTTCCATTGCAAAGTTTTACTACTTACCTCATCAAAATAGATAATAGCTTTTCTGTTTTCCTGTTCGATTTTTTTCAAACCAGCCACTTGTCCGATGCTTTCAACATCGGCGTCAAAACCAGTTGGAATACCTATCTCTTGTACTGCCATCCCGCTTGCACCAGTTAAGAGCCATCTAAAAAATTATCATATACTATTAATATATCATTAAATATAAATGTGATTCGTAAGAATATATGTCAAGTGGGATCATTTGATAATTTTCTCTTAAACAGATTACAATTGAACTCCTGATTTTTATAATTTACGAGTACATGGAATTCATATCGTTAATAGTGTATTACTCGTGTATGTTTTCATGCACCATTTATTTTCTCATTCAATTAAAACTGGTATACAACACAAAATCCTATCCACGTGAATTGAATTGTAAAAACCGTAATGTAAATTATTGGATAGAGATGAATATCAGACTTCACAGAACAAATTGCCAATTCTTGTAAAAAGTAAAATAACAAAAATACCGAACTCCAAGGAAAATTCAAATGTAGGTTTGAAACTTGACTAGTTTGTTCTTCTGAACCTTTCATTCTGGCTTAATAACATTAGATATTATGGAAGTAAAAATAACGAGAAACAGACTAGAAAATACTACATGACAATCTTGAGACCGAGCAACACGAACCCCACCACAAACAGAGGACGATCTCCGGTACGACGGAAGTGTTAGCAGGTACAATCTTTTTTCAAAAAAGGTGTGAAATGGCTATAAGAACATTAATCCTTTAATTTTCTTCTGTGAATTTTATAACAACCAAGCTTAGTCTCTTAATAATATCCAGATAAAAAAATGTCTGTTATGAAATTTTGCACATTTCCGTACGATAATCTTTCTTATTAGGTGGAAACAATATTTTTTTATCTTTAAAAAGAAATTAAATTGAAATGTCACTCGATTCAATTCTATTTATTTATTTTGAAATGCTGTATAAGTGGTTTACATTTACGAGGAGCTCTTTTTATTGGTAAACAAATATCGAATGGGAGCAACATTGCAGCTAATAATACATAAAAGATTTTATGTTTGCATCCCTTTCAGAAGACAACTTCTTCTTTATTTCCAGTATGGATGAAAAACGAGTAGCTCAGGTTACCCATAACAATGAGGAAATGATGATTATTCTTTACACATGTAAACATTTTGTCAATACAATTAATTTTCAAATTAACGAACATTTTGAAATCACTTGTTTGTTATTGGGACTATATATTTTGTATCCATACATTTTACCAGGAAATCAATTACCTTGTGCAAGTTTTAACTTTCATAGAATTAAGGGTATCTTCTTCCAATGTCACTGTCACTTCGAATGTTGGTTCTAATATTTCTTGTTCAACGTTGAAAAATACTGACACCTATAAAGCATAATAGATAAAAGGGATTAAATTTACATTTTTAAACTTTTTTTGCCTAAAAAATATGTGTTGAATATTGAAGAGAGAGAGAGAGAGAGAGAGAGAGAGAGAGAGAGAGAGAGAGGGGAGTAGGAGGAGACGACTATGGACATGAATTGATTGTTTTCAATATTTAGGGAGGAAATCGTCCACGCGTTTGACATGACTACATACGTATGCTGACCATCATCATCATCATCATCATCATCATCATCATCCCTCCTACCCTTCCTCATTTCTTTTGACTTTAACAATTTGAAAAAATTACCTCTACAAGAGCCATACCATGACCAGTAGCATCAATGGTTACTTCATTTGGAATTGACGACAGCTGAAAAAAACATGAATTATACAACAATATAAAATATATCTATTTAATAAGTCTTTACGTGTAACTTTTCTTTGAAATATCATAATTTTTTGGCCGATATGTTATGTGTCGTAACGCAGACATATTATAGATCAAAGTGATGACAATTTTCTTGTCTATATGAAAGTTGGCTGTACAAGAATGTTTGACAAAGTTAACTAGTGGTGGATGGATGTAAGAAGATTACTTTAAATAATTTGCTATTGGTCGTCTGTCATGTAAAAGGCACAATGTGTCTCTATTACAGTAGAAGAATCTCGAATGAATTATACACACACCATTGGAAGGTATTGTGAATAAAATGAGTATGTAGGCATTTAGAAAACTTTTTGTTTCTACGCAATCTCGATTTTTTAAATATAATAATGAAATTCATTCTATTGAGCGAATTGTAATGACTGACAGTGTGGTGCCTTCGAAGTGTACATAGGAACACCTTATAACTACGATAAACAGAACGACTTTTTCTTAACCATTTACACACACTTTTCGATTCCTACAGTTGTGACCATTTATTAGTTACCAAAATTAACCAATTCCAAGAAAATGTGACCAATTTCTGGTTAAGATAGACTTAACAAAACGTTTTTAGAATGTTTAATTGTCAGTTATCTTCAACTTCGTATTTGACATGTGGCCTTCCTATTGGTCTGATTCGAGCCACCGATGAGTTTTGAATCGGACGTACTAAATGTATAAGCAAGGAGTCTTTGATGGTTTTTTTTGAAACATTTGCTTTCTCCCAGAAGGCATATTTTATGCGTGATCAGAGATAATTTTGCATGCAAAATTTTGACGTTTAATGCATAGAATAATTGTTAGGAAATAATAGGGGGAAATCATATCAAATGTGACAAACTTTCCTGACCACATTTGCTCAAAAAATACAAAAACAGATAAATACTATATTATAAGGAATATAATATTACAAGATAGAAACTAATTGCCAAAAATACCAGGCCTGTAAATAATAAACGCATCATAGATACCAGGATTAAAATTTTATACGCCAGACGCGCGTTTCGTTTACACAAGACTCATCAGTGACACCCGAATCAGAAAAGTTAAAAAGGGCAAATAACCGACATCTTTCTACATAGTTAAAGGACAACTTGCGGTTTTAAGATTATAAATTCATGAGCAATAAGTGCTTATATCTCATATTATCCAGTGAAATATAGATTAAAGATTTTTACCAAAAGTATAAGGAGACGTTTACCCTGTTGACGCACCCGGTCTTGTTACTGCTGCATTTCATGCGATTCCCTCAGTTTATGTTTTTTACCTTAATTTGTCTTATTTTTATCGACTGTAAACTACTATCGCATTATTTTGTCCCAAATATACCTTAGCTACAGAAATACCAATTGCTCGGTCAATTGACATGTTTCATCAACTTGCAAAACCATGATAAAAAAAAATCTGCTTATACTCATATTAATGAATAATATTTATGCACTAAAAGGTTGATCCAATTTTCTTGGATATACCGGGTGAGGGGGGGGGGGGGGTTGACATCTATGGATTTAAGCACACGAAATTCACCATCACTCAAACTTTCCTCTAGAACTTATAAGCATTATCGGTCAACCACCGTGACATCTCGACAATTGTTCCAATTAACTTTAACTGAATAATAATTTAAACAAATTTGAAAATCCACGATCTTTAACATACAAATATAACTAATCAAAGAAATAGGCAATGTCCACCTTCACTCTCCCCTGACATTAGCACTAACATAATACTTTAAATTGTAGCAATATAAGAAGCCAGCAAAGATTATTACTTAATATGTCAAACGCGCTTTTATGTCTACATTATACTCATGAATGGAGCTTGAATAAAAAGATTTAAAAGGTCAAACCAAAAACAAACTTGACAAGCATTTAAAGTTAAGACTATATATGGCTTGTGGTAGACAAACGCGTGTTTGAATCATCTAGTACAGGAATGCATATGTAGATTTACACAAGGTTGTGACCATGTATATACTGGACCTTATCGCTAATAGTCCGACATCACAGCCGTTCCTGTAAAATATTAACGTCAAAAAGAAAACGTCTGATGCCACAAAAGAAAAGTAATTGTTGTGTGACGTCAATTTTTCAAGTATCACATATCTTCGGGTCAAGTGTCGCAGATTCCCTAATAACGATAAGGTCTATTGATTTAGATTAAATCAATACATATGCTTAATATAAGAAAAGGACATGTTTTATGTCTAAATAACAGGTTCCTACCTCTGCTGCTTGTAGTACTAAGGCATTAGTTGGATTAACTTGGAACTGTTTTGTAAAGTTACCGGCTGTAACCGAAACTTGTAAATCAAAGTTGTTTGAATAAACCATTGCTGCAAATTCTGATAAAGACTGTAGAGCTAGAACTGTATCCTAGCAATAAAATAAAAGAATAAAAGGTTAAAATATATAAAATGTATCCGAGAAAACATAAAAATTACAGATACGTTATCTAAGCAAAGAATGTGTAGCGGGTGTTTTCTTGAAGAAATACACATTGAAAGTAAAAATTCACAAGAAGATGACATTTAGTTAACTACAAAACATCTATATTCATAATACCTAATAAACTGTCTGGTTTCTTTTCTTTTGTTTTGTCTTTCTTGTTTTGCAATTTAAACATGTAATTAACCATCTTAAATGCATTCTCTTTACTTAATATGCGTTCATATACAAACAGATACAATGACAATTTCATGAATAGCTAATGGTTGCTTTTAAACCTCAAAACATGAAAAAATGTATTGCCACAATTCGTATTCTGTTGCGTCCTGATTTTAAGATAAGAAATGTACACCTATCATATTACGTAAACAACTTCAACAATTAGGTACTTGTAAATGAGAGCTAGAGAAAGTTTTCGATATGAGTGATTTTGCGAAGTTACCTGTGTTGATGCAAATCCACCATTTGAATTGCGTTGTGTTGTAAGCCATTTCATAACAGAAAGACCATCAGCGAAAGCTTTGTTATGAGCATATACAAGTAAAGCATACGACGACATTTCTATATCTATAGGATTTGATTGTTTATGAGGAGGCGACCAGTAATGATTGTGAGATGAAGTTGTAGTCTGTGCTTTATGCCAATGCTTCATTCCATCTGAAATAATTTCAATCGACAGATGTCAAATTATAGCTAAATATTTGTTTAAATGAAACAATTAACCTCTCGACTAACATATCTACACATTTTTGGGGAAAAAACTAAAATATTTTTATATCTGGACGATTTGTTGCACTGGGTGGCTTATTTGTTCAGATATTTGCTTATTTCAACATAAAACTATTCATGTTTGACTGCAATTACCAGCTTATTCTGATTCTAAAGGCAAAAAAAAACAACCCCAAAAAACAATCGTACCTTTCACAATTGCATCACTGTTTAACTTTGTAAACACCGTAGCAGCATCAGAGCTCCTTGACAGAGCTAAAGCATAACTTGCAATAGCCAAAGCATAATCGTCCGTTATTTTACTGATCTGCTGTTCAAGATAAGCTCTTGCCTTCATAGCAGCATTCTGTAGTTTCTCTTGAATTTGCTATAATAAAAAAAAACTTTCTTAAAATATTCTTTAACTTGAAATTCATAATTAATATGTATGAAAAATTTGATTTACTTGTATTAGTAAATGAGACTATGTTCAATTATGAGACTATTATGTTCGTGCTAATAGTCTGCTTATATTTAATCGAATTCGTTTATAATAGCACCGCCGTCACAATATTTTATTTTAGCACATATAAATGTATATTTGTTTATTTTTCTTTGTCATCTGATTCAAAATTAAAAGTATTGAATGTATATAAAGATTGTCCTAGATGTATACTCACATTTTTCTTTATGATTGCATTGCATATAAAGTAGAAACACATATTACCAATCTTATTTTTCTAAGCAAACTCACTCCTTTCAAGTCATTGTTTTCTTCCAAAGCAATCAATACAAACGCAGTAAGCCCTGGACCACTGGCCGATCCTCCCTAAAATATAAATTATTGTAATTGTAAAGAGCAGTCAAGGACTTTCTATATCTCTCACTATTCATTATATCGTATAGTGATATCATATTATTTATATACAGTACACAATATGAACCATTATTTACAAGTAAATAAGTTTTAATTTAAACATTCAGCAGTTTGGTCATTGAAAAATTGTACATTTACCTGTCTTAATTATGATGTAGTTACAGTAATACTGTATTGACGAAATGTGAATGACATTCAGATATAGTGTCTCCTTACTTGCATATTCTTATGTATAACTCTGCCAGGTTCTGGGAATGATCCGTCAGGATTCTGTTTTATTAACATCCATTCTATGGTACGAACCAGTGTCTTGTCGTCAATAAATATATGCTTCTTTGCTTGGTGGAATGTCTTAATTACGAAAGCAGATAACCTGTTCAACAGTAGTATCATAATAACAAGAGAATTGCAAGTTGAAATATTGTAAAATAACTTTATTTCTGATACGCAGACTAAAATCAAAATGATAAAAAATTGTTACTTCTAAAATGTGACTGAATTTTAAATTAATTCTGTGACAGTAAAACTTGTAGAAACTCATCAAAGATACTAGGCTTCTGATTTGGTACGTCAAAGAAAATGTTTGTAAACATGTGTTCCTGGCTCACCAAAAACTTATATATTATATAATCATTATACCTATCAGATCTTTCTCCTGATTGACTTTATAGCTTAATAATATGCCAAATCAACAGATTTTAGTAGTGACATTTATTCTTCGATATAATAAAAATAAAACTGGACAAAGTGATGCCCCCGCACTCCACTCTGAAGTAACTGTATTATTACAAAGTCAATGTAGGACTTTCTTTGAGATACTATTGTGTCTAGGAGACACAAATGATGCCCCCGTAGATGCGAAATGTTATTTTAAAATACACAAAGTTGAGCATGGGAGCACATAGGTCTATAGTTCACTGCAGGAGGAGTTGTCCGGAAACGCTATGCACCTCTTATGCTCCAAAAATGACAAGGTTCAACTATCTCCCAAAAGACCAAATAATAATAAAAATCAAAACCCTGACCACATGCACACCTTCAATATATGTATAAACAGCCAGCAAAGTGAAAACTTCCTGGCATTCAAACTGTAGGAGGAGATATCCGGAAACGTTATGCACCTCTTATGCAAGTAAATGCTAAAAAAAATTACAAAGTTCAACTATCTCCCAAAAGGGCAATTATTAATAAAAATCAAAACCCTGACCACATTGCACACCTTCAATTTATGTACAACCAGCCAGCAAAGTGAAAACTTCCTAGCATTCAAAGTGAAGGAGGCGTTATCCTGAAACGTTATGCATCTCTTATACAAGTATATACTCCAAAAATGACAAAGTTCAACTATCTCCCAAAAGAGCAAATATCAATAAAAATCAAAACCCTGACCACATGCACACCTTCAATATATGTACAAACAGCCAGCAAAGTGAAAACTTCCTAGTGTTCAAACTGTAGGAGAAGTAATCTGGAATAACTATATACCCATAATGGGACGGACGGACGGACGGACGGACAGGGGTAAAACAATATGCCCCCAAACTTTAAGTTGCAGGGGCATAAAACTAATTAATTTCTAGAACATATCACCATTATTAACTATAGTTAAAGTCAATACGCACCACATACTACCTGATTTGTCTCGGTCACCAAATGCACTGAAAGACCCGTCTTTATGTTGGAATGTTAACTCTCTTTGGTAACCTATAATACATTATAAAATTTAACCATATTCAATGATATTTTTTCCACTTATATTTTCATATTGTGACCAATTTAATTGATAAATTATAATGTAAGTTTGCATTTTTGTCGAGCCTGCGACTTTTGTCGCGGAAAGCTCGACATAGGGATAGGGATCCGGCGGCGGCGGCGTTAACTAAATTCTTAAAAGCTTTATATTTTAGAAGGTGGAAGACCTGGATGCTTCATACTTTGTATGTAGATGCCTTATGTTACGAAGTTTCCGTCTGTCACATGTCCATTGTCCATTTTCATGGTTCAGTGACTACTTGAAAAAAAAAGTTAAGATTTTTTGTAATGTTAATTTCTTTCTTATTATGAGTAATAGGATAACTATATTTGGTATGTGTGTACCTTGCAAGGTTTTCATGCCTGTCAGACATTTTTAACTTGACCTCGACCTCATTTCATGGATCAGTGAACAAGGTTAAGTTTTGGTGGCCAAGTCCATATCTCAGATACTATAAGCAATAGGTCTAGTATATTTGGTGTATGGAAGGATTGTAAGGTGTACATGTCCAACTGGCAGGTGTCATCTGACCTTGACCTCATTTTCATGGTTCAGTGGTTATAGTTAAGTTTTTGTGTTTTGGTCTGTTTTTCTTATACTGTATGCAATAGGTCTACTATATTTGGTGTATGGAATGATTGTAAGGTGTATATGTCCAACTGGCAGGTGTCATCTGACCTTGACCTCATTTTCATGGTTCAGTGGTTATAGTTAAGTTTTTGTGTTTTGGTCTATTTTTCTTATACTGTATGCAATAGGTCTACTATATTTGGTGTATGGAATGATTGTAAGGTGTACATGTCCAACTGGCAGGTGTCATCTGACCTTAACCTCATTCTCATGGTTCAGTGGTTATAGTTAAGTTTTTGAGTTTTGGTCTTTTTTTCTTAATACTATATGCAATAGGTCAACTATATTTGGTGTATGGAAATATTTTATGATGTACATGTCAGTCTCGAAGGTTTTATTTGACCTTGACCTCATTTTCACGGTTCATTGCTCGGTGTTAAGTTTTTGTGTTTTGGTCTGTTTTTCTTAAACTATAAGCAATAGGTCAACTATATTTGTTGTATGGAAGGATTGTAAGCTGTACATGTCTGCCTGGCATGGTTCATCTAACATTGACCTTAATTTCAGGGTTCATTGGTCAATGTTTAGATTTCCTGGTTAAGTCTTTTTCTTAGAAATATAAGCAATAGGTCAACTATATTTAGTGTATTGAATGATTATAAGGTGTACATGTATTTCTCGTTTGTTTTATATGACCTTGGCCTCATTTTCCTGGATCATGTTAAGTTTATGTGTTAGTTGTAGTAAAGCTTTATATTTAGGACTCTCAACATAATATCAATGGTTAGTATAGAAAGCGAGACATTTCAGTGTGTGCACTCTTGTTATATCTACATATATTTAAGAAAAATAAGTAACTAGATGCATTTTGAATGAACCATCTTTACTTTTCGTACCGTATAGTCTCAACAGAGCCATATGTACAGAATCAACCTACCTTTTTCCATATAATTTATAGCTTTTTCTTCAATATCACTGGACAGCTGGTGAGTAGATGTTAAGTAATTTGCTACAAAAACATCAGGCGCCAAACCGAGCATTGTCTGTTCGCCACATCCAGTTGGCATGCGTAGTAATTTGTCTAGATTATTAACTGTTGGTCCCATTAAATCACCTGAATTTATTAATTAATACCAGTATTAAATGATTTTCTTGATTTGTATAGTTTGTTTACTATGACTTTAGATTAGTTAAGTAATAAAGTCGAAGAATGATGACGTTTGTCTACATCGTTGTAGTGTTTGCTGGTGAAAAACGTCAACAAAAGATAAAATGATAAGGCAAATATTGTAAAATGTTCTTACATATGAAAATGAAACTTTAAACCCATCACAATACACATATACCTAAAAAGAATTATCAGTACGAACATGGAAATACTAAGTATCATTTGGATTGTACAAATGTATGGCCATGCGAGTCAAAACGACAAGAAACAATGACCAGGTATCCTTTTAGAGAAATTTTGAAGGTAGATATACTAAAAAAGAGAAAATATAAAAAAAAAAAACAGAAATATTACAAAATCAGCAAATCCCTGATGTAAACTGTAAACATATATTTTGTCAACATTTACAAGATTAAATAAACTTCATTCTTTTATGTGGTATATGTTACAAAATACTAGCCTATGACTGAAACTCTAACATGCTGTGATCCAGCTACTACTGATTGTGGAAGAGAAACTGGAACAGTCTCATGTACAGTTGCACCTTTGTTAAAATTCAAAAGAATTGGGGTATTATATTCTTTCGGTACACCTTCAGGCTAAAATAAAAAATATACATTTGTAAAACAATAGCAACTTAGTAATCGCTATTTAAGGTATATTTATACTACTCACAATGCATTTAAAATGTAAAAAAAAATTTCAATATCATTTCCTAAACTCATTAGTTGCTAATAATTGTTATGTTTTAAAATATTTTTTCACTTATTTGAAAGAAGGACGCCTGATAAATCCAGATTTAACACCTAGATTAACATTTTGAGTGTCAAAGATCTGCGTTCAAATTATCATACAACATTCTTTAGTCATCTATCAATATGCATAATTTTATTTAAGGATAAATGCGTTATATGCAAATCAATAAAACTTAACGACACATAATCAACAGACATGTAATATCTCCTGTTTCGTCCATCTGTTTTTACAATTGCAGTTTAGCTGTATATTTATATCTATCTTTTTAGTGTTTGCCCTGGGATTTTTTTACACGAAATAAGACATTCATTTTTATAATTGAAAAAACCAAAACATTCGAAATTAAAACTATGATATATATCTATAATATTTACGACAACAAATGTCTTTCATTTGAAAGATACTTATGGGTACAAAGAATTACAGGCTGCTGTTGAAAATTTTAAATCCGAAATTCGCTGTGACAATTTAAACTTAAACCAGAATTCATATATAATGATCTACCAATGGATTGCTGTTACAACATATAGATCTTATATAAAAATCAATAGGTTTATTCCGCCGTTGACAAACAGATTTAAAGTACAATACCTCTACAAGTAGTTGCCGTTTTACTGCGTCTGCTGCCATTACTGACTGAGCCTTAACAGTCAGAGAAATCTGTCCTAACTCAGCAGGTACAATCGGGAAATACACAGATTTGGCTTCACCTGCCTTTACCTGTATGCAAAGAAAGGAAGCTTTCAGAAACACCAAAAGATACAAAAAGACTATGTGATATTATGTTAGAAAATTACAGACAACACCATCAACAAAAAGGGAAAAAAGATGAAAAAGGCAAATAATATAAAATATGAAATATAAGAATCGTTTCCAATTAAAAGATTAAAAGTGCTAAATTTTGGCATGATTTTATTTCATTATAGGTTATTTACCCATTACATCATCGTCATCTTCTAAGAGACATTTCTTTAAAACTTCAGAAGCTGTTTATAGTAGTTTATTATATTCAATGTATTTAACATCGCTGTGATTTAGAACATACATACGTGGACATTGTCTGTCTGTGTTTGGGATACATAACTCGTTGTACCATCAGAGGCAACAACAATACTTCTAAAATCATCATTCTTTTCCAGTGTCACTAACACCTATAAATAATCAATCAAAATGTATGCTAAAGATATTTAATGCATATGCAAGACGGTAGTTTTACAGAATTTCACAGGATTTTGTTTTCAATGCATAGATTGCAGAAACCCGTAGAAACGAAACATGAAACATGGAGAATAAAAGATCTTTTGAACATAGAGTTGTTTATCTTTGATAAGTTTTTAAAATCACTTGACATAGCGATAATGCATGAAATAGATTTTGCATAGTTAAATGTTTCCTTCACACCTGTCTATTATTCTCAATATGATTCATATAATTCATTGTACGTGTGTTTTCCGAACAAACAGGGGCTTATGTGTTGAAATCTGAAAACGAAATCGAAACATTTTCCTCAATTTAAAAGATAAAACTTTTAGTACTAATGGTGAGGAATTAAAATAAAAACTAAACGATAGTTTTATCATTGTGTACTGCCAACCTATCCTGAGTATTAAACTTACGTCAGCATCACTGGTCAGGTAGTTAAAGAAATTGTATTATTGTGTACTGTCAACCTATCCCGAGTATTAAACTTACGTCTGAATCATTGGTCACGTAGATAAAGAAATTGTATTATTGTGTACTGCCAACCTATCCCGAGTATTAAACTTACGTCAGCATCACTGGTCAGGTAGTTAAAGAAATTGTATTATTGTGTACTGCCAACCTATCCCGAGTATTAAACTTACGTCAGCATCACTGGTCACGTAGATAAAGAAATTGTATTATTGTGTACTGTCAACCTATCCCGAGTATTAAACTTACGTCAGCATCACTGGTCACGTAGATAAAGAAATTGTATTATTGTGTACTGCCAACCTATCCCGAGTATTAAACTTACGTCAGTATCACTGGTCACGTAGATAAAGAAATTGTATTATTGTGTACTGCCAACCTATCCCGAGTATTAAACTTACGTCAGCATCACTGGTCAGGTAGTTGAAATTGTATTATTGTGTACTGCCAACCTATCCCGAGTATTAAACTTACGTCAGCATCACTGGTCAGGTAGTTGAAGACATTGGCTTGTAACACAACTTGTTCTCCTCGTACTACAGAGTATGGAAGATTAAGGCTGACAAAGAATGGCTTGAAGGCTTCGATCTGAAACAAATTTTCGAATCATTTTGCGTATTTGTATTTAATACTTTTGTATTCTCAATATGCAATTATCTATAGTACATGACAATTAAAACGTATCACAAATGTGCTATATTAATTGCATTTGAGACTATCAACGTTTTACAAACTTCAATATAGTATTTTTCAAAGGTGGACGTCTGTGTTGATACAACACTTTTATCATAGCAGCTTTTTTCTTTAATAATTCACTGCTACTAGTATTATTAAAATCACCTTGGCTGACGTAGAAGCTATTCCAAGCCCAGATACTTTATTGACAGCGAATGCACTAGCAATCCAAGATGTTATAGTGTCTGGAACTGTTGTTGATATTGTCACGTGACCATCAGATCTACAAGTGCAAACATTTACTGTGTTAAAAAATTATAAATAAGTAGACAAATGTATCAATTAAAATTAACTGATTTCACTACATTTACTCAAAAATGATTTTTTACAATATATAACTGAAATTATTTTTTAGCTTGAAGTATCAAATATTGTTACGAGGAAAAATTTCATTGAAAATTAAAAAAAAAATAACTATCAATTCAGAGCATCTAGCAACATTTGACTTTGAATACTTGACAATAAAAAGACAGAGAACACCTTTTTTATACTATCTTGTTTTTGTGTCCCTTTACTTAGCTTACAAACCATGTTTATTAAAATATACACTAGACGTATGTTTTGTGAACTTTGTTCCTAAATGCATGTGCAAGTGCAAAATAATCACAAATTCAGCAAACACAAATGATCGATAAATATATAGGAAAAGGTAAGCAAAGAGAGCTAATGAAAATTCTAACCATAATAATTGTTTTTTAATAAGCAGTAAAGCACTTACATCCTATCAAATCAAAATTACCGGACCAAACATATATTACCCTGTAGATTTATTCGTCCATAACCACGTTTCTGGGAAAACAGTTCTAACTTTTGATGGGGTTTTCAATTGGGTAGTATGGTGTGGGCTTGGAGTAGGTTGTAAATGAGCTACAGCTCCTCCTAAACCATTCACCAAGTTAAATTCTGGCAACCCACCCATTAAGAAGCCATGATGTCGGATTGGAATGAATATTTCTTAAATAGAAAGACAAAATATTCCCATGCCGTTTTTGTTTTTCTATAATTCGTTAGACACAGTTGAATAACTCTCACCAAAGATGATAAGGTTTACAATGTGTTACACAGGCGCGTTTTGTTAACATAAGACTCATAAGCAGCGCTAGAGTAAAAAAAGTTAAATGAGAATTAGTTAATTGGATCCGTGAATATTTGAAATTATTTCCGCAAAGAGACATATCAAAGGAGCAAAACAAAACCAAAATAAATGGATACAAGTATACAGGTAACGTATTCATAGTATTTCTTGCAAACAAACATTATTGTTGAACTTCAGTAAATGCATTTGATGCATTTATTTTCAACCAATAAAACAATAGATTCTTTATGGTATCCTAAAATTAAAGATTTGGTTTCAATTTCGTACTTCCTTTTTTCTGCTCAACTTAACCCTCCTTTTATTTTGAAATATTGCGGCAAGGATTTCCTTTTGTGTTTCATTTTATACTGTCGGTTGTCATGCTCTACACTGGACCAAACATACAAAAGAAAACACAGAATGATACCCTTTCCAATGGGATTAAAACAGCAAGGCCGTTGATACAAATAAGAATAAAAAGACTTAACTATCTATGAACACTTATGCTACACATATCTTTAAAGAGGCAAATGTAACTGGATTATAGATAAAGCCATAAACAATATAATCAATATGATCAAATGGAGATAAAAATGTAAAGGGGAATAAAATATCAATGAAAACCTAAGTGAATTGCATCAATGGCTTTGTAATGATATAAAGATTAAATTGTATTCAACATTGAATTATTGCATTCGAGAAAATTGTTCTTATTGCTTACACCACTTTCAAACATTATTGTTCATTTCGATTAGGATTTATAGACGTATAGTTCTCTATCATTTTCGTCCGGATAAACCATATTTGTCATACTGAATTACAAATTAAAAATATCGGATTGTTGATCATGAGACAAAAAGTCCTTTAGCGAGAACTACCAGGGAAAAAGGGTCTCCGTAATGTCTTTATGTTTACTTTATTTAGAAAGAACAACACAGAGTGCTAACTTTCAATCTCAATCTCAGAATTTTAACACATGTGCTACTCGCATTCGTGAATGAATGTGTTGTTCGGTCACTCGGTCACTCAGCAGATCCTGCTCCATATTTGAAACCTGTCGTGTAACTATCAAATACGTTTATAAATCATATCAAGTGATTAGACATTAAGCAATAGAGGATTGGTATTTGACTCTTATTTAATCCAAAGACACCACCAAAATTAGTTAACCATCAGTCCTGTAAATTTTCTGATCCTGAAACTCGAGTGTGAAATTTTGAAATTGAAATACGTTTTTCATGACAAAGGATAGACAAGAGTGTTACCGGTATAAACAAGAAAGACATAATAATAAAATCACACAAAGAACAACACTAAGGACTAAACAAGAGCAACACAAACCCCTGTTCAACAAAACTTTGGGTTATCTCAGGTGCTCAAATATATGAATTATATATTTTTCATTACAAGCATTTTTATAACTGGAACAAATGTCCGAATACTGAACATAAATTATAAATGGAGAATTTATATGAGAAAAATGTATGAGAAGGAAGGTAACTGCGGCAAATTATCTTAAAAACCGCATTTACTCTAACCCCGAAAAGACTCATTATGTCAAAAATATAAATATATGACGTTTAGAAGGACCTGGATTTTTTTCAAAACAATTTTATACTGTGTACAGAGGTAACACTTAGTTATGTACTAACTACTGTTTATATTAAATCAAAATTCGGGCATTGAGATGAACAAATACGACTGGAACAAAAATATTAACTTTAACCAAGACTTATATGTTACATGTGTTATTTGTCATTTCCTGCTATTTTCTTTGTCGGTTGATTGCTACTTGCTTAACATTCAGTGGCTAATAATTCATATATATTCCGGTCGACCACAAATTAATAAATTAATGCAAGAGGAAGGTTCTATTATGTGGATCGACGGGGATGAAGGGCTAGAATTATCTCTGCTTTTCTGTTTTGTTGAAAGCGTAGTCATAATAATCGGATAATTGGAGGTTTCTCCTTTTTGATAAAAGATCTCGCTTTATGACTTTTCTTTATGTCATTTTATTTTCAATAGCGCATAACAAGAACCTTCACTTCGTTATTCTCTTATAAATCGTATAAGTCAATATAAAATGCGTTGATTGGCTTACGCATGATGGCTATGAGAAGTAAATTTTTTATGGTTAGTGTGTAAATTTGCATTCGTTAATGTCTATTTATATCCTTAGTTACAGTTGCATACCAAATGAGAGATCGACCTCTTTGATTTTCTGCATGTGAACATAATTCTGTGTTTACACTTTATCTTTCCTTTACTTGGTTCCTCTCATGAGTTTCTCGTTTTCGGACGCGTATATTTTTAGAGAATGTCATGCTCCATCGTACGTTAAAAAAACGTCTGTATATTTCCAAACAAATTCGCTGCAGAAAGTTAAATTTCCTTTACTTCAACGTTACCACCGTAGCACATCGGCCTTATATATCAACAAGATAGCGTCACAATGCCACCATCGCACTTCAGCGTGATCAAAAACGCACTTCAGAGTCAAACCATCGCACATCAGCGTAACCATAACGGTTCGAAGTACCATCGCGGTTCACACATATATATATATATACATGTGAGATAATCAGAGCTTGTTTATTAGCGCTACTTTTATTTGTAGTGTCATTTCCACATATCAACATTGAACAGTTAGTGCAAAATGTTTGACAGTGCAGTTCTAATTGATCGTTTTTTGGGGAGCATAACATTTGTGTACATTTAGTGATTCAATTTTTTTTAACGTTTGCGTGCATTCATTTGCCAGGTAACACAGGTAAATGTAAAGATAATTTATGATAAATATGTCGATGGTTATTATTTTTGAACATAATTATATATAATTCTAAACTATATATTTTCATATTGAATACTAATAAGTTTATCGCGTGATCATAAGAAATCCAGTAAGTGCCTAAGGTAGGCATGTAACAAAATTGCGAATATTGAAGAATGAATAGCATTCTGTTCCCTAATTTTACTGAATAGTGATCGCTTTAGTAAATGAGTAAGTTTGTAAAGTTGAGTCAACTCACAAATTCCAGTTTCGAGATTGTAGGATGACGAAGTTGACCGAATTCATTTTCGTAAAGAAATGAGCTTGTATATTCAGCATGTATATTTCGACATGTAAAATCGGTACTTTTACTCTTCAGATTTGCAATGATTTTACTTTTTTTTATCTGTATATAATTCCAGGACTTAGTGCTTGTGTATAATAAAACACCGACTTATCCTGCTCGAAATGTCATTTTCATCTCCTCGTTGATGAGTAGGGAACGGAAGGTCTAGCGGAAGGGGTTCTTGTAAATAGATAGACGAATGAATTAAAAGGTTATTTACCTGTTGTTCACTAAATTTAAATGTGTTTATGCCAATGACATATTTCATGCCATCACAGAACGGGAAACCAACTATTTTTAAAACATGAAGAACATCCTCGTGTATTTAACAACTTTAAAAAGCAAGATAATACCGTTTTGGAAAGCTGTTTATATCATTTTCCCGGATGCTGCATGAAGATAGAATGTGATATTTCAAATGAAAACTTGCCATGGACTCTGGTTTTGGTGGGAGTTTTAATTGTCCAAACTTGAGGTTGTAGTTTTGTTGTGTTTTCGCATGCATCGTGGGCTTTCTTATTTTTATCTGCGTAAATATTTTTGAAATTAAGTGGCCATAATAGCCTTATTTCACCTTTTATCTTTAAACAACATATATCATGTATATCATTTACGTTTTCAAACAAAATAAGTTAATCTATCCGGTTAGTTTTAAGGAACCAGTAAATTTCTCAAAGGTCGTTGAAAAGAGAGAAATATAGATAAAAAAGCAAAAGTAGTGAACAGCGAAAGGCTCGATGTAGAAACTTTCTTGTTTAGCTTCTGTAAAACTGCACTTTTCGCATAAAATACTATTAAAATACTATTAAAACTAAAAGAGCAAAACAACTTTGTTTTAAAGTTGGTATAAAAACACTAGAGATGGTTGTAACGATTCACACTTCTAATCCAAGCAACAACAAAAAATGGTCATGAAAATAACAACCAATTCAACTAATATATGCTCATGTCTGAAATGCAGTAGGATTTAATTTTAATGAACAAAATTGTGCAGGTGTGAAATTATGCATAGAAATATTTTATCTCTTG